GGGGGAGGTAAAAAATAAAGCAGCGGTAACAAAAATAAGGGGAAAAAAACTCAGCTTAAAGGGGGGAAACTCAGCTCCCCCTACGCCCCCCCATCCTTAAGCCCAACCCAGCACCGAGGCAACTTTGGATGTGTCTGCTTCTCCCTGCAGTCTGGGTTACATTCCTCCGGAGCGCCCGCTCAGGCCGGTTGTGACATAGCCCGAAAACTTTCCGAGGGATTTCTGGTGGGTGATTTCTCCCCCTCCCTCCCCCCCCCCTTTTCCTTTCACCCCTCACCCCCCATCATTTCACCCCCCCCCCACCTCGTTACGATTATTCTGATGATGTGTTTTGTTTTTGTTTTGTTTTTTTTAAAAAATTCGGAGCAATGATTTCTCCCTTGTTCGTTTGGGTTTGTTTGGGGTTTTTTTTTTTTTTATTTTTAAACAGCCGCCGGGGCTGGAAAACCAACGAAAGCCTTCAGCTTTACGGGAACCACAGAGAAGAGAACCCGTAGATCTTTCGGCTCTCCCGGGGTTCGGGGGTGACCCCGATCCGTACGGAGCCGCTCCGCCGCCCCCCGCTATGGCAGCGCTCCCCGGGACGGTACCGCGGATGATGCGCCCGGCGCCGGGGCAAAACTACCCTCGCACCGGCTTCCCTTTAGAAGGTAGGTATAAATATCTTTATGTGTATGCGGACAACTTCAAATAGATGAATTTGGGATGGATTTGAAACCGGGGAAAGGTGAGCTGGGTGAGGATGGAGCTTAAAGAAAGGGTTGGGGATCCTGTGCGCAACATCCAACTTTGGGGAGGTTGGAGATCTTTTCTCACGCCGTGCCTTTCCCCGAGCGGCTTGTGCCGCTTTGCTCTTTATTTTTCCTCCCGTTTCGAGTAGTTAGGAGCGGGTTTTAGGCTCGCCCTTTATTAGTATGACTACTATTCTCATTTTCCAAACTCAAAGAGTCCCGGCCCTATAGAGAAAGAAAGGAGGAAAGGAAGAAAGGAGGAGGAAAAAAAAAAAAAAAAAAAGCGAGAAAAACCGATTGTTTCCAACTTCTCCCCAGGAAAATAAAAGCCAAAGCCGGAGCTTTGGGGCTGGGAACAGATGCGGTGCTTCGGTCGAGAAAAAGGGGGGGAAATGGGAGCTGTCACCTCGAGAAGTGTCATCCATGGGGATGACATCTCCACTGCGGAGCAACCAACTTCCCCCGTCGTTTTTCTTTCCCTTTGTGCGACCGCCCGGCTTATGATTTCTGCCCAAAGCTGTGCGAGGGAATAATAATAAATAATAATAAATAAATAATTAAAAAAAAAAAATCAGAATTAAAGTAGGAGCCCTTTCCCCGCATTTATTAAAAGAGGAGAATTTCATACAGACCGTGATCAAGTGGCGAAACTCAAAGCTGAGGAAAGCCACGCAGACTGCAAAACATACAAGCTGGGGGGATTTGCTGAAGTGCTTTTCTGTAGCAAATGAAGTAAAACAGACGGCAAGGGAAAGGATCAAAGGATTACAACAATATTTGCACAACATGACTGGGAATAATGAAAAGAGAGAGCGGGCGGCGGTTTTAGTACCTCTTGAATGTAAAATTGGCCACTCGAGTGTTATCTGTCGATAATGATATATCCAGGGAGTGCTGGCCAAGTGACTTTGAATTAGTGGTGCATGATTCTTGTTAAATCGCGAGGCAATTTCTGGAATCGACTTTTCTTTGTAAAGAGAAAATCACCCCCTCGCCCCCTCCAGCCTCGCTGCAAATTGCGCAGCTGAGTTCTTCCCTTCGTATTTTTTCTTTTTTTTTTTTTTGCTTTTAATTTTTTTCCCCCCCTCCCTAATTTCGAAGCCTGTGAAATCGTATTAATCTCCGAAATCTACAGCGCGAAATACCGACCCCGCAGGTGCCGCGCATCGCGGCTCCTCCGAATCCATAGAAAGAAACCCTCGAGGGGATTTCGAGAGCCTATTTCCAAAAAGTTTGGTCGCAAACAGAGAGCCCCTCATTAATTCGGAGCGCGGAGCCCCTCACTGGGGACGCGGAGCTCCTCATTCGGAGCGAGGAGCGCTGCGCGCTTTTGGGGGAAAGTGCGAACTTTTTTTTTCTTTTTTATCCTATTTGGCTTTGCGATGAGGTTTTAAATCTTTTCTTCTTTCGGCTCTGGTTCAAAGTGTAGGTGTGAAATGCCCAAAGATCTGTAACCCCGAGGGGAGAGAGGGGAGATGCGATGCGCGGCTCCTTCTATTTTCAACGGGAAAACTTTCCCTTACAGCGAAGGGCACCGCGGGGATACGGGATAAAAACCAATTCCATGGGATGGGAGAGGTTTTGCCCCGATTTTAGGAACACGCTGGAGAGGTGCAAATCTCTGGGACGCAAACTGGGGAGGGATGCGTGGAATTTTGACGGATTTTTTGCCCTTTTTCACCATTTTTTTCCCCCCATTCCCAGTGTCCACCCCGCTGGGCCAGGGTCGGGTGAATCAACTCGGAGGGGTTTTCATCAACGGGCGCCCATTGCCCAACCACATCCGCCACAAGATCGTAGAGATGGCTCACCACGGCATCCGGCCCTGCGTGATTTCCAGGCAGCTCAGGGTCTCCCACGGCTGCGTTTCCAAAATCCTCTGCAGGTACCAAGAGACGGGCTCCATCCGACCCGGGGCCATCGGGGGCAGCAAGCCCAGGGTGAGTGCAATGTGGGTCCACGCTATGGGCCCGATACGCGGTGTTAGGAAACAGCCGGTGGGGGGTTTTATTTTGGGACGAGAGGGGGTGAATTTAGGGATGAACGAAACGAACGGGTTTTGAGCGAAGATGGGGAGAAAACAGCGCCGGGCAGCAGGATGGGAATAAATTAACGGGGTTTTCAGCATGCAACAAGTGGCAAGCATTCGAGCGTTTCCTTCGGCCCCTGTTTGCTTTAAGGTTTACACAGCCGCCCCAAAAAAGCATCCCTCGCACCCCTTCCTTCCTTCCATCTCAGGTTAAACCCATCTTTGCCATCTCCTTGTCCTCCGCGCGCTTTAATTTTAAGGAAGACAAATGGGGGGGACACACCTGGGGGACAACACCATGCCTCTTCTTCCCAGCTTTATTGTCCTCCTTCCCATCCCTCAAATTCAACTTTTTTTGCCCCCCAAAACTAGCAGCCCGCTTTAATTTTTCAATTAAAAGGGCTTTTTCTCTCTCCCCTTCCCTCTCTCTGCTCACGCACGCACCGGTGGCCATTGACCACAAAAGCAGGTTGCGACTCCCGACGTGGAGAAGAAAATCGAGGAATACAAGAGAGAAAACCCTGGGATGTTCAGCTGGGAGATCAGGGACAGGCTGCTGAAGGATGGACACTGCGACCGCAGCACTGTGCCCTCAGGTGAGAAGGCAGCTTGGCCGCAAGGCCACCTGTGATCCCAAAAAGGCATTTTGGAGTTGTCTCCAGCATCCTCTTGCTCTGCATGGAGAGGGATGCAAACCAAAGCAGTTTTTCCAACTTATTCCAGCTCCCTGGAGACAACTGGGGGTCTCCAACCTGAGGGCAGCTTGCATGGGGTAGACCCCAAAGCAGAATCAAGGGGGATTTCAGCCCATGCATTGCTAATTGGGGATACACAGCAGTGCTTCATTCATCCAGGAATGCCATCGCTCACTGAAAATGATGCTGTAGCTCAGTGTTGAGCTGTGCTGAGGGTCTGGGTGTTTTTTAGGTCCTGGTTCCTTTGGCTCAGGGTTCCTCTCTGCTCCAGAAGAGCTGAGCCTGCTCAGATCCCCAAAAATGGAGTCCTGGGGAGGCTGAATCCAAACTTTTGGAGATCCCTGAAAATGGGGTCCTGGGGAGCCTGAATCCAAACTTTTGGACCTTTCCTGGTCCCTCTGAGGGTGAAAGCCAAGAGCTGGGGGCATTTTCCCTGCTACAAAGCAAGTGGGAACCCTGGGATGTGCAACCCCATGAGCGGGGCCAGGTGTTTTGGGGAGGGGGTGATGAATGCATCCATCTTCAGGCATCCAAGTTAGCATCACTTGGGTGAACTGAGGGGTGCTTGGGTGCAGTTGGCAGAAGGAGTGGGTGTATAAAACTGAGAAAAGAAGTGCAGGTGCCCTTGATGTGTATGAGGCTCCGGCTTGGGTTTCCCCCATGCGTTTTCCCAGGCAGCTTATACTTGCCTTCTTGTCTTTGACTGTCTGAGGTTTAGTGAGTTCGATTAGCCGTGTGCTACGCATCAAATTCGGGAAGAAAGAGGAAGAGGAGGACTGCGACAAGAAGGAGGAAGACGGGGAGAAGAAGGCCAAGCACAGCATAGATGGCATCCTGGGCGACAAAGGTAGAGGCGGCCACGCGTGCCCCAGCTTGGACTGGGGGAACCTTTAGGATAGGGGGAACTTTGGGGAACACAGCCCACCACTTTTTTAGATGGAGAATAAGAAAGGGATTGGCTGCAGAGCCTTACAGTTGTCCTTTCCAAATAGGACTGATGGCAGAGCCAAGGTGTGATGCTGTTGGGAGCTGCTGGTACCCAGCCTTTGGGGTTGTGATGTTTTCTCATCCCCACATGGAAGAGTTGTCGGTGTTTCGCTCGCGGCCGCTCCAGATCAATTATTTATAAAGGGAGATGACTGAGGGGAGGCATCTCTGATTCCTAAATGAATTTGTTAAACAGATTTCTCTCCTGCTCTCTAAGTGGTCCCCTGAAACTCTGGCTGACAGTTGACCGATTTGGCCAATCAATATCAATTAGAGAGCACGGGATGCGCGCTGCTGTGGGGCTGCAGTGAGAGCCACCAGCACCGGGCTCGGGGGGAAATAATAAATAGGCAAATAATAAATAGGGATAATAAAGCTGGGGCTGCTGGTGGAAAGCTTGAGGGCAGCTTGGTGAGGGGGGACCCGGTGACATCGCACTTGTCTCTCATTTGGGGGGAGGGGGAGGAGGATGCAAGTTTTTCAAGCTCGTGGTGCTTTGGAAATGTCATTTTGGCAAGCTGGATGGGGGAGATGATTCTTCAGCCTTCAAAAAAAAAAAAAGAAAAGAAAAGAAAGGAAAACGGTCTTTTTAGCGAAAATAATTGAAGTTTGGCAATGAGGGTGTGTGAAACCAGGGGGAAGTTTGAGGGACGGGAAGGAGGTATTGCTTTAGGCACGGAATGATTTCGTCGTGTCCAAGAGCTCAGCGCTTTTTGGGGGAGGAAAGCGGGAATTACGAAGTCCCGTAGAAAAGCCTTAAGAGTGAAGGTTTTGCTGTTTATTTTTCCCCCGGAATTGATGGCAAAATGGCGATGGTGAAGCCGGCTTGCACGGCTTGGGGGCCGGTTTGCCATATCGGCAACGGAGCTTCCAAATCCCGGTGTGGGAAGCAAAGTGATCCATTGCAAAGTTTCCCACTAGGGCTGCAAAGTTTTCCCCAATTCGGGACAATGCGGGGGAATATTGAAGTGCGGGGAATTTGGGGCAGAGAAAAGCTTCTCCGTGTCACCATCAAACGTTTAAATGAAGGTGCACAAAAGGGGGTTCTTTAAGGATCCGATCTCCCTCTCTCTCTCTCTCTTTTTTTTTCCAACCTTGAAGATGAACTTCACTTACAAAGACCTTCGAGTCTATTGAAGCTTTATAAGCAAAAGATTCCCGGCCACAAAAGCAAACAGTGGAAGGAAAAAAAGAAAAAGGGGGGTGGAGGGGGGGCGAAGGAGGGGGGGAAGAAAGGGGAAAAAAAAAGAAGGGGAAAAACCCTAGGCTGCCTTAAAAATGGAGTAAAGGGATGGGGGAGGGAGGGCTTCTCTATTCTCATTCAAAATTCTGCAAGGAGGAGAAAAAGTTCGGACAAAGGGCCAAGGAAGGGAAGAAAGGGAGATAAATTATTCAAAACTCCCTGCTGTTAGATAGTTTTGTAATATTATAGGACCGTCTGTTGGAAAAAAGGCGAGCCGTTGGACGTTGCAAAATGTTGCTTGTGATTTGGAAATAGGCGATGCTCATTTGCAAATCGGAGCCCATTGTGTGCAGGGGGAAAAACTGCCCCCGCGTCACCGCGCGATGCGTTGGGTTTCATTTCGGAGAGATGGTTTTTCTCCGGGTCGCATCGCTGGAAAAAGTAATGATTTTTACACCTCGAGATCGTTTCTTTTTAGTTATTTACTTTAGTTTGTTTTCTCTCTCAAAAAAATATATATATATATCAAAACGAACAGCGAGTTCTTTGCGGAACCCGCTTTGAATCGAGCGCTAATTTGGGCTGATTCCCTTCTGCCCATTGCGGAGCGCCCATTCCCGGAGATAAATCATTACTGATGGGCTGCTGGGCTCCCGTTCGTTTTATTTTCTCCTTCTCCTGCGTGGATTCGGGGGGAAAAAAACCTCCTAAAAAAGCTTTAGTTTCGCGGAGCTGCCGAAATAGCGGGCAGCGGTGAAGCCGGGTGCGGGGCTGTCAGAGCAATTAAAAACCACCGCCAATAACAACAACAGCCATCAATATTGAGAAAAGTTTCTAACAACCCCAATTAAGATAATTAATGAGCGGTCAGTTTGTAAAACGTTCCGAGGCGGTGTTTTGCTCTTCCTTTTTAGAGCCGGGAATAACGATACCCCTTTAGAGATCAATTCCCATTGACCCTGCGAAGTTTGATATTAAATTTATATGTATATATATATATGTTTATTTATATATATATAAACGTACTCTTGGCATTCATTCCCAGCTCTGCGTTGGGTGTTTGTATCCCTCGCTTTATTTTTTCCTATTTATTCCCCCCTTCTCTCTCCCCCCCCCCCCCCTTTTTTTTTTTTTAAAGGCATTTTCATGATGATTGCGGACGGGGGGGGAGGGAGAAAAAGGAGAGGTGGAAACTTTGTTTTGGCCTTTTTCCTCCTGCCAAACGCTTTTGCTCCATTTGCGGGTTCTCCTCGCGGGGAGCCGGAGGAAGACAGCCCTAAATGCTCTCTCTTTTTAAGTGTTAAAGAAAGCTTCCACCCTGCGCCTGTTTCTTTCTATCGTCTGCTTGGCATTTAATAATGTTAAGACTTATTAGAGCTGGTAATGAAAACTGTGGCTGTTGAATAGGGAGCTGTGTTGGAGAAGGGTGTAATAGCTCCAAGGCATGCTAAGAAATGTATTTATCCCCAATCAGTACTCACTCTCTGAGTTCCCAGCACAAACGTTAAGTTGAAGGGTTTTAAGGCAGATTAAATTGAGCCTTTATTTCTTTGCACTTTCATCTTTAAACGGCTCACTCCAGCTAGCCCTGGGCATATATTCATGAGGCTTCACTTTATTTTTTATTTATTTATTTTTATTTATTATTATTATTATTTTTTTATATATCCTTGTTAAGAGCGAGTTGTTATTATTTTTGTTGTTGTTATTTATCGCGAGTGTTTATTAAGGAGGGTCACGCGTGGGTGATGCTCTGCTTTGATTCACCCCGCACCCGGAGATGCGATATGGAATCGTGGGGGTGAATGGGGCAAACGAACCGCCCCCCCCCCTCCCAAATTTAACGGGGTGCTGAGGATGGTGCCCACACTTTGGGCGAGGCTTCGTATTAATCACAAGCAGATGCGGGGCGGCGGGTGATGGGGAAGGAATAGGAGGAGGGGGGGGATGAGTTTCAGCAAAGGAATGACCCCCCCCCACACACACACTGCATGTCACCCTATGGCCGCGGGTGTCCCATTCGGGGCTGCTGTGCTGAAACAGAGCGGGGATGGCCGCAGGGTTTTGGGATCAGAGCGGCGGAGCTGGACAGGTGGCTTTGCGTTATTACGCATCATTTATCGCTTTATTCATTTCTTAATTTTCGTTTGTTTCTTTTAATTATTATTTTTAATCTCTTATCGCGGCGTGTTTTTATGACTTCGATCTTTTTTTTCCTCGGTTTTTATTATTTATTTACGACTCATTACTGTTTCGCATCCCCATCCCCCC